GATCCTCATGCCTCAGCCTCTAAAGCGGAAGAATTACAGACATTTGCCACTGTGTTCAACGATCAGAAACAGTTTTCTAATAAAAAAGCAGAGGTTTTTTCGTCTCTGTAGGACACAAAAGATAAGACCAAGGCTGAGGACTGTGTGGAGTAGAGGGGGCATGGTAGTGCAGGTCCCACTAGGGATGGCGGGTCCTGAAAGGCAAGCCTTTCATCTGTGGACTGCCTTTGCTGCAAGTCTGAGTGTCATCTACTTTGGGCATAAAGATCTTGAGAGTACCCACTTCACCATACTGCAAGGACAGGTTACCTGTTTACTTTGAAGCCCAGACCAACACAAAACAGACCAAAGAACAGTCAACAGTCAAAGAAAGACCTACCGGGGACCTGGGACCCAGCAGTATCTACTGTGCCAAAGTCACTCCCGCAGCCATGGGACAGAGTAGGTGCAGACTGGAGTGAGGTTCTGTCTGTTGGTCCACAGGGTCTCTACATTGCTGGGAGATGTGTTAGGAGTTTGTTTCCTATATAGCTTTATCCTTCAGGGAAACTCATCAGAGGTCTTGTTGGAGAAGACATAAAAGTCTTCTGGGAGGAAAGTAAAAGGAACCTTAGAGAAATGCATCCTGCCTGCTAGATGCATTGGAACTGCGAGTAGATGTAGAACATTTTCCTTGTCCTGGAGCTATCCAAAGCATTTTAGAAACAGTACTCCTTCAGCCCTCAGGACACTCGGAGGTAGAGATTGTCACGGTCCTTGTAAGTGCCGGGGAAGCTGAGGCTGAGACTTTCAAGGTTACATAGCTAATAAGTGGTACAACCAAGAGCGAAGCATACATGTGACTTCACATTTTCTGTCTGTCTGTTTGTCTGTCTGTCTTTTGATACAGGGTGTCCTATAGATGGAGCAGCGGGCTGCGTTCCTGCCAGGCTCCTGCATGGCTAGCTTTATACCCGAATTAATAACACACAAATTGTACTCATTTAAATACTGCCTGGCCCATTATCTGTAGCTTCTTATTGGCTAATTCTCACATCTTGATTAACCCATTTCTATTAATGAGTGTAGCACCACGAGGTGGTGGCTTACCGGGAAGGATCTTAACCTGTGTCCATCTTGGAGAGGAGAGCTATAGCGTCTGTGACTCACTTCCCTTCTTTCCAGCATTCTGTTCTGTCTATTCCACCTAATTTTCTGTCCTATCAAAGGGCCAAGGCAGTTTCTTTATTAACCAATGAAAGTAACATATAGACAGATGACCCTCCTCCATCAGTGTCCTGTATCCCAGGTTGGCCTCCAACTCAATATATAGCTGAGGGTTGCCAGGAATGGTGGCCCATGACTTTGATCCCAACACCAGGGATCAAATTTACCTCTGAATTCCAGGCCAATCTGGTCTACAGAGGGAGTTCCAGGTTTCAGTACAGCCAGGGTCTATACAGAGAAACCCTTTCTCAATGTGTGTGTGTGTGTGTGTGTGTGTGTGTGTGTGTGTGTGTATGGCCTCCATTTCTACCTCCCAAGTCTTGGAATTACTTGTAGTTGTGTATGTGTGCACAACTACAACTACACTAGGTTCAAAACCAAGCCTTCAATCATGCTAGACAAGCACTCTAGCAACTGAGCCATTTGGTTTTTGACAGCAATCCATACTGTGTTCAAACTCAAACTCAGGATGTACCAGAAGATGACCTTGAACAGCCAATCTTTCCGCCCCCACGTGATGGAATTACAGGCACATACTAACTATCACTCCTGCCTTATTTCAAATTCGTCAGTGCTGTGTTCAGTCTTACGTAGGTGTTTGTCTTTTATCTAAGAATCCATCAACCCTTCAGTCCACACCTACAGGCAAAGTTTTTCTTGGATGCTGGGGATGAATGGAGTGGACAGAAAGCGCTGCCCGCGTGGAACTTCCATGATGCCATCCGTGAGATCAAAGCAGCATTAGAGTTGGGGATTATGTCTTCTGTTTATGGATGAAGCGTCCAAGGAAAGTGTTCCGGAGATTTTGCTGGTCCTCATCACCCTGCATACGTGTGCTTGCCTGGCCGTTGCTACTGTTGGACAAACATTCATTTCAAACTGTCTAGGGGTCAAGTGGAGACCCAAACACACAGAGCTCCTGTCGCATGAGGTGTTCATTATCTGTGGGTTGTTCTCAAATGTCTTCCTGACCTGCCCTTTCAGCTGAGGCCGCAGAACAGCTGGACTGACTCACACCCCAGGAAGCTGACACTGTCCTCAGACAAGCCCCAAGGAGAAGGGACAAGGCCAGGGATGTCTGGAACAGCAAAGCCAGTAATAGTGCATGGGGTCAGAGAAGCTCTTTGCCTTCCCAGGGTGGCCTATGGCCAAGAGTAAGCCCTGTTCCTAGGTATGTTAGGAAAAAATTCAGAGGAGAGGTTAGTGTTCCTTAGTTCCCCGTGCCCTTACACTTCACCTTCCTCATCTGGAACAGGTTCCAAAACATGTTGAATTCAAATGAAACTATGGCTTTTTGACCCCGCCCCCATGCCTTTTCAGTTCATCTACAAAGTTCTGCACTCTGCCTTTGTGTCTTCCTGTTCCTCATTTCTTGTGACCAGTGTCTCTGAATAAAGTCATTCACATAAAGGTATAAATAACTGATAAACATTTCAAATGTTGTATCTTACAAAGAAATCTTTTCATTGGAATCTTTTTTCTTTCTTATTTTTATTTTTTTATTTGAGACTGAAGTATACGGTGGTCTAGAACTCACTATACAGCCCAGGCTGGCCTTGGATTTGTGGCAAATCCTCTTGCCACAGCCTCTCCAATGCTGGTGTTTAAAGGCCTAAGCCATCACATATTGTTTCTACAAACAATTCACAAATACCTAAGTGTGTTCTGGACAGAGCTAAATTCTATCTATAATCATACAAAATAGCCAGTGCCCCTAATCATCTTGTCATACTAAGGAAGATGAGCCTTGGCTTTCGATCCTCCGCTCCACAGTGAGTGAGAATAACTATTCTCAGGGCAATTTTGTTAGACATGAATACAAGCTCTCTTTTGATCATTTTGTTCTCTAAGGTAACCCCAAATCTTAGGACAGGGGTCTAACACATAGGTTGCATCACAAATTGCAGGTGTCTTCCGGCATCAGGAGCGTGCAGGAAAGTACTGATTTGGGCAGGGGTCTCTTCTGGAGGCCTGGCTGGTAGGTGGAGTCTAGAATCAGGCAGAACCAGGGAGATAAGGCCCTCTGCAGTGACAGGCTCAGAAAGGGAGACCTCCAGTGAGCCACACACCACAGCACGCAGGAAGAGGGACGTTTTCACTCATTGACAGTCATCACTGTGAACTCCTCCCTGACACCCCTTCCCTCAAGCCCTGCTTACTGGAAGACACAAACTCCCCGTTTTCTACATCCTGAGCTGGAGGCCACACAGACTAGGCTGGTACTGCAGACCCTGGGAAGTCTTGGCAGATTTGGGGTGCTTGTGGTGTATGCATAAGGGAGGCAGGTGATAATACTGCGGTCTAGCTTCAATGCACTAACTATAGCTCATTTCTTCCCAGACCTTTGACGGTGGCTTGGGTCATGCCTTAAGCACGAGCATGCAGGCATGCTCAAGGACACAAGGTGAAAAAGGACAAACCTGAAAGCCATGGTGACTGACACAAACCACAAAAAAAACTACCATGTTCGGAGACAGTCTGACATAGTCCAGGCTAGCCTTGCTGTAGCAAAGGCTGACCATGGTGCCACAGAGGATGACCTTGAACTCCTGATCCTTCTATCTTTGCTTCTTCTCAGATGCAGGGATTATACGTGTGTGCCAACACATCCAGCTGGAAAAAGTATTCCCCCTGAAAGGCAATGCTTGTACAGTTAGGATCCTGACCTTGAGCTAGCCTACTGGGCTCCTAATCTCAGACCTCCTCCCAGGCAGCTCTAGGACTCTAAGCAATTGACCTGACCTCTCTGAGACTCTATACCCTTCTCTACAACAGACCTCTATAAGCAAATGAATTAGTGAGTTCATGGCCCTTAGAATATATTCTTGCAGGATGTGATAGCTCATCCTTGTAATCCTAGTACTAAAGAGACTAAAGAAGGACTACTGAAAGTTTGAGGCCAGCCTGGACTACGCAGTAAGTGCCAGGGTAGCATGTGCTACAGAGTGAGATCTCTTCTCAAAAACAGCAAAAGGAAGACAAACAAACAAACAAATCATAGAAACAAGACAAAAATGACAAATAAAAACAAATGGGGTTAACAAAAAGAAGGTTGGGGTGAGAGGAGGGATGGGGGAAGAGAGGGGTAGTGAGGGGAAACAGCTAATTTTGGTAAAGTATTTACCCTGGAAATATGTGGACCTGAGGTTGATCCTCAGAATCCACATAAAAATCCAAAGATGGGGAGAAAGAGATAAGAGAGTCCTTGGATGGAGCTAGGAAGCTGTGTGTCCAGCCAGCCCAACCTACTAGGTGAGTTCTAGGCCACGGACAGACTCAACAACAACAACAAGATAGACCGTGACCAGAGAACAAAAAAGCACACACGTGGGTCAGCTTGCTGTGCATGCATAGGTCACGTGTCCATGAACTTCTAACATCTCGCAGCCTACACAAGAAAGTGAGTTAAAGTGTGTAAAGTGACGAGGACGTGTTTGGCCCAGAGTCGGCTCCCATGCTCTTTGCTATTGCTTCTACATCATTCATTATCAGCAGCCCTGGGGAGGAAAAGAGACACCCAGTCCAATTTCACAGCAGAAGGAAGTGAGGACCGCAGAGGTGATCGACTGGCCTGTTCCCTGACCCACTGCTTAAGAGTGACAGTGGTAGGATTGGAAGCCAGGTCAAGCTGACCTTTCTCCTGTGGCTGAAGAGCTGTGGGTGGAGAAAGGTCAAAGCCCCAGAGGCCACTGGGGAGGCTGGCAGGGAAGAGCCCTGAGTTTGACAAGGATCCTTTGAGGGCTGATAGCATGATTGCCCAAGTTCGCCCCTGTTGCCCTGTGAAGAATCCACAAGCCTAGACAAGCTCCTGTCTGGAGGTAAGAGTAGCCCAACCTGTCCTATGAGACAATGTATTGTCAAGGGGGCCACCATAGGCAGGAATGTAGGGAATCATACTCCCCTAAGCCTAGTCCTGGTAATGAGGGGCAGACACCCGATGGCCATGGTGACCTGAGTGAACATATCACCATGTGCCTCCTGTCCCATGCAATGCCTTCTTCCTGCCCCACCTCCCTCCCCTGTCTTCCCTACTTACTGTAGTCCCACAGGTCTCTTTGGATATCTGGTGCCCACTCTCTTCCACCCCAGGGCATTCTCTTTTGTTCCCCTGCTGCCATCCACCTTTGCCCAGCTCCTTTGTACCCTCAAGTCCTAGCTCCCTTGTCACTTCCTAAAACTACATTTCCTTTCTCCTTTCCAGAAAGCTGCCATACTTACACAATACTGCATCTCCTCTCTGTATGTTTCCTGCCCCATCTGGATTTCTGTATTGATCTGAGTGTCAGTTCACTGACTAGCTTCCTTAGAACATACAAACAAACCTCAAAAAACATGAGCGACATTGAAGACTATCCTGCTTGTCTTAAACAAGTAGCTACTGTTATAATTTTAAACATGCCACAAAGAGAAATCATGCCACATCATGGGGCTCACATGGGAGGTTTATTGGAAGAGGAGAGAGAAGGGTCAGAAAAAGGGGGCAGAGGCAGGTCCCTGGGGACAAGAGTGGTGGATGAGAGAAAGGGGGGAGGGAGGGAGGGAGGCAGGGAGGAAGAAAGGACAGATGGGTGAGGGGAAGGAGGGGACAGAGGGGAAGGGAAAGGGAGGGGAGAGGGAGGGGAGTCAATAGTAAAAAGTGAAACAACAAATTTACCAAACTGGTAAGGCTGTCTCCTGAGAAGGCAAGGAAAAATGTCAGGGAAAGGTCATCAGGGGTTTAGTAAATAGAAAGAAAGGGAAAACCTGTGTGTGCTGAGCAGGAGGAAGCTGTCTTCTCCATCTGACCTGCATGTTGCCTCAGACAGGATATTTAGAGAGGGAGAACAGACAGACTCAAGCAGGTCTGGAGCAATGAAAAAGAAAGTGGAGAATTCTCTCTGTTCCCTGACTGTCGAGCCCAAGGAATCCTGAGGCCAGGTTTGATATGAAAGGAGTGGTCAGTGAGTCTCCAAAAGACATCCTGCTGGGAGAGAAGAGGTGTATGATGCAGTAACCAAGGATGAGGCAGGGGAAGGTTGGGCATGAGTGAGGTAGAGAAAGAAAATTCAAAGGCCTGAATACCCTGGCATCCCAGGGATCCAGGGAGGGTCAGATTGAATGCGCTCAAGCTGCTCCGTACATCATCATGCAAGAACAGGGGCCAAGGGCTCTGAGCAGGAGAGAGACACAGTCACCTGGTACCAGGACTTTGAGAAAAGCCAGAAGGTGAGGAGAGGCCTGTGCTCGAGAAAGGAAGCCTCACATCCCGGGGAAGGGTCAGAGGTGGATAACCCCGCCAGACCCAATTGTTGGTAGTGAATGGAAAGCAAAGCCATCAGCAAACGTGAAAGCAGATTTGTTGCAGGTAGAAGTGGATCAGAAAGCAAATTTATTGCGGGTGGAAGAGAGCAGACCAGAAAGCAGTATCTAAGTGGTGTTTGGGCTAGATCTGACTGCAAAGGCAGATGAGTTTAGAAGCCCTTAAATTGAACACTGAGTGCAAAAGTCTGAGGTTTTGCAAAAGGCATCCCAGTGGGGAATCTTGGAGGGACAGACACAGTTCCCATGAGTGAGACAGAGAAGACCCAAGGGTCTGCAATTCCCAGCGTCTCAGGAATTCAGAGAGGATTAAGTAGTCACAGGCTATCCTGTGCATCATCATACAAAGAACAGTGGCCAAGGACTCGGAATCCAAGAGAGCTGTGGTTACCTGGTACCAGACTTGACGAGGCCAAAAGGCGAGAAACCACACTTGAGAGACAAATCCTCACTAAAGGGAAATGGCCAGAGGTGGAGAAGAGGGGGCTCACCAGTCATGCTGCTGTGGATGGAGGAGCCCAGTGATCCGTTAGTTGGAGAAGTAAGGCTTTTGTATGTGGATCAGGTTCCAGGGTCTCTGGTGTGCCTCAAACTGCTGGCAGGCAGGAAAAGACACAAGAAGAGCCTGTGGCCCCAATGATATAATTTTAAAAATGCCACGAAGAAAAGTCATGCCATACAACAGGGCTCACGTGGGAGGTTTATTGGAAGAGGAGAGAGAAGGATCAGAAAAGGGAGCAGAGAAGAGGGCAGAGGCTGCTCCCTGGGGGCAAGAACGATGAAAGAGGAAGAGGGAGGAGGGAGAGAAAGGAAGGCGGTAAAGTCTACCTTTTATAAGGGAACATAGCAAATGTGCACAGGAGGTGCTCTTATTGGCAGCACTTGAGGGTGTATTCTGTCAGGACCTCAAGGGCAGGCTAGTACAGACGCCTGAATACTAACAACCACTACACAGCAAGGCACAATAAATATTTGCTAATGAGTAGAAAAGTGCAAAGATGCATGATGGTGGAGAAATGGTGTCTACTTTTTAAGCCTCAGTTCCCCCTTCTTTGAAATGGGGTTAATACCTACTGAAGCAGGATTGAAATAAAGCTGCTGTAATTGAGGACTTTTGTGTGTCCAGCTTGACATGCCTGTAACCCCAACACTTAAGAGGTGCAGGCAAGGAGAACCAGAAGTTCAAGGTCATTTTCAACTTTGTCAAGAGTTTAAGGCCAGAAATTAACAGTTTCTGTTAATGTGTGTGTATAGCCTTCATATATATATATAATATAAAATATTAGTAATATATATTAATATGTATATAAAATATACTTAAAAAGATATATAAAAGCTAGAAGAGTAGCTCAGTGGTAGAGCATTTGGCTAAAATGCCCAAAGTCTGGCATCTCAAACAAACGCCTCTCCTCAAATAAACCTTGCATCTGGAGAGGCTTAGTTCAGGGCAACTATCCCTAAAGATCGCAGGAGAGATTGGGGTCCTTGACTGAGTAGTTCTGCGCTATGATTCTGAGATGTAACTCCATCCCCCTCCTACCTCCAGGAAAGGAGATGAAGGGCTGGGGGAGGCTGGAAACAAAGGGATGAGAGAGGTTCTCAGGAAGGTTTCCCCTTTCTGGATTTCTGTCCTCTCGTCCCACCCCTCCCCCATCAGCCCCACCCTTCCCAACCACATACCAAGAATAAACCCCACACCCTGCCTGCCTCCAGTGTCACAGTTTCCTGCCTGTATGGTCACAGGCTGCTTGGGCTCTGAGGGATTTTCCAGCTGAGGCAGTGCCTCTAGGACTTGGGGCAATGTCATAGCTGAGGCCCTGGGAGGCAGACCCAGAGCCAGGAAAACCCCAGGCAGGCCGTGACAGAGAACTGGAGTGGGGCCCTTAGAGGGGGCAGGGCGGAGGCCCCTGGGAAGCCCAACGGGTCTTCTCTTTTTCATTGCGCCACTTGCCCTATAACTTGCTGGTGATGGTTGGCTCTCCGCCAAGGTGAAGCCACGGCATAGTGACACACACCTACAATCCCAGCATTCAGGAAGTCGAAGCAGGAGGACCATGAGGCCATCTTGGGCTACATAGAAAAAGTAGAGGAGGGTTTTCTACAGCAAACAGAGGTGTAAACAGATTCTGGTTTCACCGTGCACCCATGCCTCGGGGAAAGACTGTTCTCTGCACGTTCTCTTCCCCTAGAGCAGAGACTCCAGTGTCCTGATCTAACCCTCCTGGCTCCCAGCCACCGATAACCATCACGGTGAGATACCAACCCCGGAGAGCTCTTTCCCTGCCCCTTCTCTTCTCGTTTCCACTCTTGATAGCCATCTGCTCCTGAAACTGCCAGGGGACCCGGTTTCTAGTCTTGCTACGGCTTCGGCTTTACCTAGCTCAGGAAATAATTTTTAGGCCTTCTCTGAGCCTCAGTGGCCACCTCTACACACTGAGCCTCAGGTGACCCTTTTCAGCTCTTACGGAAAAGTGCAGAGGTCATTTTGTCTCTGCTAGGTATGCAAGCTAGTCTAGGCCACAGCCCCAGGCTTGAGAGCTGCACGCATTACCTACCGTATTTGCCTGGCCAGGGTTGGAAAGTGCTGTTTTAACTTAGCTAACTGGAAGACCACGAGTTTCTGTTAATGGACAAAGAATAAGAAGAATTAAAAAGTCAAAGCCAGGTTTGGGAGATGGCCCAGCAAATAAAAGTATTTGCTACCAAGTCTGATGACTTGAGTTCAATTCATGGGATCAACATGGTGGAAGAAGAGAACCAACTCCTCAAAGTTGTCCTCTGACCTGTGCATGTGTGCAGACATGTATACATACACATGTCTGCACGCGAGCGCGCGCACACACACACACACACACATACGCACACACGGATACTGAGCATCTACATATACTTTTTTATTAAAAAAATCAATTTATTATTTATTTTACATCCCCACTACAATTCCCCATTCTTCGTCTCCTCCCAACTCCTCCCCCATCTCTTCCACCTCCTTCCCACCATACTTTGCCCATTGCTTAGCTTCCCTTCATCAATGGGTCCAGTGCACATGGTATCTGTAGGGATTGCTTCCGCTGTGGGTAGGCCCTCTGTCTGTCTGTTCAGCTAACATTGCTCATGTCCCAGTGCTTCTCTCTCAGAAGCCTTTGAATCCTCCTCAAAGCGCCTTGGCAGAAACAAACCACTTTTCTTCTTACTCCCTTGCACGTCACACTCCTCAAAGCATCACACTAAAGATAACTAAATGTTTAGGAACGTAAAGCCCAGGACCTGTTTGGCGATGTGGCTCAGTTAACAGAGTGCTTACCCAGGGAGCAGTAGGCCCTGGGCTTGATTCCTAGCACCACATAAACCACACACAATGACACATGCCTATAATCCCAGCACTTAATAGGTTGAGACAGGAGAATCGGAAGTTCAAGGTCACATGTTGGACCACATATTGAGTTCTAGGCCAGTATGGGCTATAATGAGACCCCGGTTTATTGTTTTATTTTTAAGTTCAGTACATACTTTCTTTCCCCAGGAAATAAGAACATGGAAACCAATCTGTTGTTGATAACTAAGCATACATAGATGATAGAGATAGATAGATAGATAGATAGATAGATACAAATTTATCATCTATCTTTCCACTCATCCATCTTTGTTGCTGTTGTTTTGAGACAGTTTCTCAGGTAGCTGAGGCTGGTATCAAACTTACCAGGCGACCAAAGACGACCTTGAATACCTGAACCTCTTGCTTCAACTCCACAGGTGATGGAAATTTTTATCGTGTTCCAAGAGACCTGGCTTTATTCACCCATCTTCTGTGTGTTACCCTGGATCATACAGTTGATGCTCAATAGATTATTGTTTTGTTTGGAGACATGGTTTCATTATATAGCTCTGGCTGGCCTTGAACTCATAGAGATCTACCTGCCTCTGCCTCTTCTGGGTTAAGATTAAAAGTATGTACCCTTGCAACCAGCAGTAATTATTAAATAAACAAATGGCTATAACTAAGCACAACAAAGGCCATGTTCTCCAAGCGTCAGAGGAGTCTGGAAGGTCAGGTCCAATTCTTTAAGGTACTGGGTCTGAGCAGGAGCGGTGTCCTAATGGTTTTTTGTTTGTTTGTCAACTTGACACAAGCTAGAGTATCCTGGGAAGAGGGCCTTCGACTGAGAGCATTCTGTCATCCGATTTCCTGTAGGCAAATCTGCAGGACATTTTCTTCCTTAATGATTAATGTGGGAAAGCTAAGCCCCCTGGAGGTTGTATCATCACCAGGCAGGTGGTTCTGCGTTGTATAAGAAAGCTAGCTGAGTGAGATGGAGAGGTGGCTCAGCAATTAAAAGCATTTTCTGGGGGCTGAGAGATGGCTCAGAGATTAAGAGCACTGACTGTTCTTCCAGAGGTCCTGAGTTCAATTCCCAGCAACCACATGGTGGCTCACAACCATCTATGATGAAATATGGTGCCCTCTTCTGGCCTGCAGGGATACATGCAGGCAGATGCTGTATAAATAAAAAAATAAAAAAATCTTTAAAAAAAATAGATAAAAGCACTTGCTGTTCTTGCAGAGGACCTGGGTTCAATTACCAGTATCTACATGGTGGCTCATGGCCACCTGTAACTCCAGTTCCAGTGGATCTACCCTCACAGGCACCAGGCATGTATGTGGTACACATACACACGTGCAGGCCAAACACTCATAGACATAAAATAAATACAGAGCTGGAGAGATAGCTCGGTGGTTAGGAATACTTGTTGCTTTTGCAGAGGACTTGAATTCAATTTCCATGATCCGCTTAGTGGCTTACAACCATCTGTAATTCCCATTTTAGGGGACCTGAAGCCCTCTTCTGACTTCCTCGGGCACCAGGCAAACATATGGCGTACACACATCCAAAATACAGGCAAAACATTCGTACGCATAACACAAAATGAAACAAAACAACAGACTAAAAGCAAAAGCAACAACAAAAAGAAAATGAAGCAGGCTGAGCAAGCCAGTAAGCATCGCTCTTCTGTGGCGTCTGCTTCAGTTGCTGCCTCCAGCTCCCTGCTCTGACTTCCCTCAGTGATGGAGTACAACCTGAGAGCTGTATGATGACATGCCCACCCCAGGGTATTTGTGGTCTCACTGTTTCATTACAGCAATAGAAAAGTAATCAATACAAGAAGGATGTGCTGTACCCAAGGGGCCTACACAGACAGACACTTGGTCATCAACTGGGAGTCAGAGATTTTGGCTTCCCCAACTGTCTGGGTGTCCTAGGGTGTGGGCAGCCATGGATCCTTTAGTGGGAACATTTATAAGAGATTCCCCAAGTCTTCAGATTGGGTAAATGTAAACCATAAATGGTTCCAGGTTCTGCCAGGAAACCACACTGCAACTTCAGGATCCCTAGCACACAGTCACCACGACACCAGCAGCCGTTCTCCGGGATGCAGAGCTTGCATCCTCCTTGGGGGCAGAAGCAGGAGGCCAAAATGAAAGCCTTCCATAGGCAGCCCTAAAGTGCTTTCAGCTTCTAGCTGATCTGAGACACCGCTACCCCCACAACATCTGAAATTACAGTTGCCCTTCCCTATCTGTGGATACAGCATCTACAAATTCAGCAACCCATGGATCAAAATTTACTTGTTTTAAAATGCAGAATATCTGCCCAGTGTGTATAAGGTCTGTGCTGAAAGTGTCATTATCCCCCAAACAATATGGTTGAAGTATTTACATAGTGTTCTAGCATTTACCTTGGTGAGGTATTATGTTATAGACAATTGAAGGTTTACAGGAGTGTATGTATAGTGTCTTCGTTAGGTTTCTACTGTTCTGAAGAGACACCATGACCACAGCAACTCTTACAATGAAAAAATTTAATTGGAGTGACACTCTTACAGTTTCAGAGGTTCAATCCATTATCATCACGGTGGAGAGCATGGCCGTGTGCGGGAAGACTTGGTGCCAGCTACATCTTGATCAGAAGGCAACGGAAGGACTGTGCCACCTCAAAGTCCACACCCACAGTGACACACTTCCTCCACCAAGACCACATACTTCCTAATAGTGCCACTTCCTATGAGATTATGGGGGTCAATTACATTCAAGCTATCATGTATAGGATCTAAAAAAATATCATCACCAGGTGGTCATGGAACACTCCTTTAATCCCAGCACTCTGGAGACAGAGGCAGAGGCAGAGGCAGGCATATCTATGTGAGTTTGAGGCTAGCCTGTTCTACAAAGCTAGTCCCAGGACAACCAACGCTGCCCAGAGAAACCCTGCCTCAAAAAACAAAAACAAACAAAAACTCACAAAAGCAACAACAAAAAAAACCCTACTATTTTATATCAAGGACTTGAACAACATTGGATTTTGATACCTGGGAAAATCCTGGGTGAATCTCTTTGAGAGACTGAGAGATAATTGTAATTAATTAAAATTTAAATTTAAAACATGGGGGGGTGGTCTTGGGGAGGTAGCTCAGTTGGTAGAATGGTTGCCCAGCTTGAGGTCCTGGTTTGCTCTCTGATACTGCATAAACTGAGCATGTGGCCAATAATCTTAGTGGTGGAGGCAGAGACTCATCCTTCCTAGTGTTCAAGGATATCCTGGGATACAATGTTCAAGTTCATCCTCAATGTTCAACGATAGCCTGGGATACACAGGAACCTATCTCAAAAACAATTTTTTTAAAAAAATTACCATCACGACGTTCAAATGTTCATAACAAGAAAGAATAGTATAATAAAATTCAGACCCCAAATCTAACTTGCAAGGCTATGAATTTGTGGATAGTTATGCTTTCTTTTTATGATTAAAAACCAAACAAACAGGGGCTGAGAAGTTGGCTCAGTGGCTAAGAGCATTGTTCTCCTTCCAGAGAATCCGGGTTCAATTCTCATCACCCACATGATGCTTAACAACCATCTGTAACTCCAGTCTCAGGGGAACCAGTGTCCTCTTCTGACCTCCATGGTCACCGCGGGCACACAGTGCGCAGACTTACCTGCAGATAAAACAACCGTACACACAAAACAAAATGAAACAAATAGGTTTGTTTAAATCAAATTTTAAGTAACACACCATATTATCTGTGAATATCCTCTGAATAGATCTGAATTCATTATAGAAAAAAATGTTCTTAATTTTAAAAGAAATTTACAGGGGTTGGAGAGATGGCTCAGTGGTTAAGAGCCCAGGTCCTCATTCCCAGCTCACAACCATCTGTAACTACAGTTCCAGGGGTTCAGATGCTCTCTTCTGGCCTCTGGAGGCGTCCAGCATAGGCACACATGTTATGCAAACATTCATTCAGGCAAAACGCCGTATACATAAAAATTTTTTTTTTTTTAAAGAAAACTATGTAGCATGCACTCACTTAGCATTGGTCGAATGGAGTAGCTGAGGCTGCGTATGAACCTCTTTGTCACCTTATTCTGGGCAGGGTGTCTCTCTGAGCCTCAGCTTCCTAAAGTGTGAAATGGGTACAAAAAGTGTGTGTGCCTTTATGTGAGTGGTTCACAACCTCCCTAGTGCTGCGACTCATGTTCTGGTGACCTCCAACCAGAAAATTATTTCATGGCTACCTTGTAACTGTAATTTTGCTACCGCTATGAATTGTAAAGTAAATATCTGATACAGGGCTCCCTAAGGGGTCGTGACCCACAGGTGGAGGACCACTGCTTTATGTGGCAGGTGTTAGTGTAGAAGGAATTGATGGCTATTGGTGGGATGCCTGGCCCACTGCAGGTGCTCAGCTCAGGTGGGCGTGGTTACCGCTTTGGGAGCATCCTTCCCCCCTGGGCTGAGACTCACACATCCTGAGTTGAAATGCCAAAGAAAGCAAATGGCTTCCGCTAGCACGCAGAAGCGTTGCTCCTGAAGGGAGTCGGCCTCGTGTGGGAAGACACACTTCTGCTTGTCTGGGGTGGGGGTTTGTAATCCCTGGTCCCACGCATCCAGAGGCTAACTTCAAGGCCAGCTTTGTTTTGTTCTGTTTTGTATTTTGGTGCTAGGGATGCCACCCAGAGCCACACTCGTGCTAGGAATACTTGCTGCCATCTGGCCGCCCACGCGACTCCCGTGATGGCTTATTGACTAATAATATGTTCCATCTGACAGGGTGACTTTTGCCTACGGGTCCCACAAGGAAGGAGAGAAAGGAAAGGATAAAGAGTAGAAGATAAGACTGAGATCTGCTTTACAGCTGGAAAACAAGTCTGGCTTTGCATGCCCGCTAATGACGGAGCTAAGAACGGACAGCGGAACCCAGTCCCAGCTCCCACATCTGTAAAATGGCTGGGCGGGCTGAAAGTGCAGGCAGCCATCCTGAGATGGCCAGCCGGACCAGGTGAAGGCCCAACCCCGATAGCGGCAAGATGTTTACGCACATACGGAGAAGGCAGCTTCTAAGAACCAGCAGCTTGTACTTTCTCTGAAGAGACAGTCTCCCCCCCACCCCACCCCACCCCTTATAGATGGAGGGCACACAGCTAAGGTGCACAGCCAGAGGCAAACACTTCCCTTTCTGTTCTTGTTAATGCAGATAAAAGTACTTCCTTCCGCATTCTCGGGACCTGCTCTGCACCCCTTGCCCATTCTGGCAGCCTCCTATCCTCACAGCCTCCACCCTCCCGCTGCCCTGCACTTGACCTAGTCCTAGATGGTCCACAGGACAGGGGCCCTGGGCCGCCCTCACCTCAGCTAGTTCCTTCTCTCCTTTCCTGTGCTGGTGCCCGGCCTTTCACTTCTTCCTGCAGGGCGCAGGGCGGAGGTGGCCACTGCACCTCTTTCCTGCAGCTGTGGTGGTCTAAGGGACAGACGGTGACAGGATTGGTTCTGCTCTTAGGCAGATTTCTCCACATGCTTAGATTTCTTCTTCAGGACGCTGCAGATAGTCACCTCCACTTCCCTGGGTGGAGGACACCATGTTCGTCCCCCTCAGAGAGGGATTTCTCTCATTTAAACCTCTCTAGCAGCATAGGGTAGGAGGATGGCTCAGCTGTAAACCACTTACCACACAAGCTTGAGGCCCTGAGTCAGATCTCAAGTTGGGTTTGTCTGTAATCCCAGAGTTCCTGCAGCGATATGGAAGGAGACAGGGGAACCCCCAGGAACTGGCGGACCAGCAGCAGATAACAAGAGCCCCTGCCTCACACAATGTATAATGCTCCATCCTGACACTGACATCTGAGGTCATGCTCTAACCTTCACACAGGCAACATGATACGTGTGTGCGCACACACATGCACACGTATACACACACACACACACACAGGCTCCTCCAGAACCTCCAGCTCTTCTTAACCACACCCACACATCAGCATCTTACCTACCTTACCGTCTTTGAAGTGACAGCTAGCCATCTAGACTTATAACAGTCCATCCCCATTGTACTGATGAAGGAGGCGGCAGATTTCAGTGATGGCAGTGCAGGGAACCTCGGAATCGGCTCAAAACACCCCAAGACTAAGTTCTCTGCACAAAGGAGAATTATTTGCCCTGGAGGAACAAAAGACAGGGAATAAGAGACAAAGACAGAAGATAGAGGAAGAGGGAGAAGGGGAAGGGGACAAAGGAGAGGGAAGAAAAAGGGCAAGGGAAAAGGGGTGGGATATTTGTCTTGGAAGGGATGAACAAAAGACCGCCTTTGGAAAGAGAGGAGTCAGATGCAGCACCTAGGAAAATGGTAGTTTATAAAGGTACAAAAGAAAACCCACGTTAGGATGAGGTTTTAATTTTAATGGGGCATGTTAATGAGATAAGACAAATGGGGCTTTTGATGCTGGACTTCAATACTTTAATAGCTGGACCCTGGTAGTCAGCCTCAGAAGGAGGAAGTGGCCAGAGAAAGAGAATAGACCTTGGGGGCTAGTTTCAGGACCGTAATCCACCACTTTTTAGCAAGGCAGAGGGAATAGGGGACGAGCGAGGCCTGCCAGAGCCCCAATCTCTAGTGGGCTCATGTCCGTTGAGGCAGAAGGGTCCCGGGAGGGCTTACTACTCCACTCAACTAGTTAAGAGTGCCTGTTGTCAAATAGTGCCAGATAGCAAATGCTGTATATGCAGTGGGCCCTAAGGTAGGGCTCCTGTCCTCTCAAGGCTTACAGCTAAGGGGTGATGGTGGAGGTGGTCACAGACACGGAAACAGAACTTCACGGCAAGCTGGTCCTCTCCCTTGGGCTGTTGACACTGAAGTCACTACCATGCAGTGGACAACTCACCGTGAATTAGCCAGGTGGATGAAACCACTCCAACAACAGGGCCGTCGGAACTACACCTTGTGGTCACAGGTGCTTTGGAGTGAATCTCAGTGGCTTTCCAAGTCATTGCCGTCTCGATTGCTCCCCATAGCCCACACCTAAAAGCTGGCAGAGGCTGGGTGGGGACATGAGTCACCATCACCAGCCTAGAGCCTTTGTCTGACACTTTCCACCCATGGCCAGGAACACCCTTCTGGAAACCAAGGTGAAAGGGAGGGTAGCGTGCAGTCTGGAATTACAGACCGGGCATCCACAGCTCTGTGGTTCTCCTTGCCCAACTCCTCCCTATCTCCTACCTCCCAGGGATTCATGAGCACTCACTGGAAGAGCTGCCCAGGAGCTGCCTCCAGCTGCAACAGTGTGTGTGTGTGTGTGTGTGTGTGTGTGTGTGTGTGTGTGTGAGAGAGAGAGACAGAGACAGAGAGACAGAGAGACAGAGAGACAGAGAGACAGAGAGAGAGAGAGAGGGAGAGAAAGAGAAAGAGATGTGTGTGTGTGCATGTGTGTGATACATATGTGATGTGTGTGCATGTGTATGTGATATGTGTGTGTATGATGTGTGTGTGATATGTGTGAGAGGTGTGAGAGATATACGTGTGTGTGTGTATGTGTGTGTGTGTGTTTGTGTATCAACCCAGAAGTGGTGAGTGGTGATTGGGTGATAGGTGGTAAACAAGAAAAGAGAAATGAAAATAAGAAAAGAAGAAAGGGAAAGGAGGTGGGGAGATGGGGGCCGTGAGAAAATCTCTCAAGAGAGGAGTGTGGGAGCAGGAGGGTCAGAAGTTCATCCCTGGTTATACACACAGACACACACACACACGCCAGAGCTGGCGAGATGGCTCAGTGGGTAAAGGCACTTGCCATCAAGCCTAAGGACCTGAGTTTGATCCTCAGGACCCACATGGATAGAAGGACAGGGTGTTCTCTGACCTTTGCATGCATATCATGATGTATGTGCTTATACACGTTCACACACACACATACAAACACAAAAAATAATGTAAAAAAATCACTTTTAAATCTCTGTCACTTTCTCTCCTGACACACTTTTACCGCCGCCCCCCCCCCCTTACACCCAGTTTCTCCCTACAGTAAAAGCCTTCCAAGAAAAGAGTCAGGAGCTGGGAGAATCAAAGGTCTAAGGTTATTCTTAGCTACATCATGATTTTGAGGGCAGCCTAGGCTAGGTAAGACCCTGTCTCAAAGCAAAACAAAACCAAAAGGAAAGAAAAGCAGAAAGGATTGCTAGTCTCTCGACCTCCTTCCCCTCTGTTGGTGTGAAGGACCGCTTCCTCCCATTCCTTCCTTTTCCTCACTGTTTACTGCAGCAAAAGCTACCCTTTTCCTTGGCTTCAAAATAATATCTGAAGTGTATCCTCAACTCCCCAATTCCTTCGCTTCGTGTGCTTACACAAGATGCATTGCAGGGGTTGCTTTTGTGAAACATAAACCCTTCACTTGCAGACACCACAGACTGTGCCATTCAGTCTGCCCCTCTTGTCCGCTGTGCAGAAAGGCTGGTGTGCAGACAGCTTCTTTTGTGGCAGGCCTGCCTGCTGAAAGCCAGCAGGACACTGGCCAGATAATTGTTCACAGAGAGCCCAGAAGCACAGGCGGGAGAGTGGAAGGGGGCTGTGCTCACCCACAGGATTGGAATCTCACAGCTGGAGACCTTTGTGCCTCTGTCCACACAGACAGTTTCAGCAAAAGGGCAGAGAAATCACAGGGCCTGTCTTGTTGGAGGTTTTGCAAGCCAAGTCCCAGAAGGGGTTGCTGAAAACATCCTGCTTCCCCAGAAGTGTTGAGTGGCGAATGGGAAGAATTCATGATAGCTGGTGGGCAAGGGATGAGGAAAGAAGAAAGGGAAAGGAGAGAGAGACAAGAGACAGAGAAAGAGACACACACATACACAGAGACAGAGAGAGACACACACACACACAGAGAGGCTGTGAGAAAGTCTGACAAGAGAGGAGTATGGGAGGAAGGAGGGTCAGAAGTTTAAGGTCATCTCTGGTTGCTTAGTGAGTTGGCGGCTAATCTAAATAGTCTCAAAAAAAATAGAAGAAAGAAGAGTAATGCTAATTGTGCTAAGTGTGGTGGCACATGCCTGCAATCCCAGCGTCTAGAGGGAAGGCCCCCGACGTATATTGTGACACTGTGTCTCCAAAACCAAGGGCTAGGAATGCTCAGTCGTATGCCCAATGTCTCTCTCTCTCTCTCTCTCTCTCTCTCTCTCTCTCTCTCTCTCTCTCACACACACACACACACACACACACACACACACACATGCTAGAGCAATCATGTGCATGCTTGTGCACATGTACACACACACACACACATGCTAGAGCAATCATGTGCATGCTTGTGCACATGTACACACACACACACACACACACACACACAGAAATCTAGTAGTGTGATGGCCATTTATGGAACACTTATTTGACAGTAAGTATGTGCTGTAACACTCCAAGATAACTAAGGTCACATACTCTGCAATGGAGAGTGACTCCCCTGGATTGGCTGTCAGGTGTCTTTGTGGTTGCCCCTTTCACTCTCAAAGGTGCTCTGACTGAAAGATTTATGGAGCAGGTGACCCTGGCAGGTCCCACCATGGGAGACTGCTGCCGAGAGAGCTTGGGTATGGAGAGTTTATTCAGCGGGTATTGGGAGGGTGTGGGAGGGTATGGGAGGGTAGGGGGTATGGGGAGTGGAGGGGGGGTGAGGAAAGGTGGGGAGGCCCACACCATAAATCATAACACTGACAGGCATGATATCTTTAAGTGATAATCACCTCTTTTGGGTCCAACTGAGCAATGCCACTTGCTGGCCGACGGGAAACTCTCCCTACTGGTGACTCGGTCTCAGGTTTATGCGACCTGGTTCCAACACAAGCCA